AGTTGTATTTAGTTGTTTACGGAGGTATGTATATATATATACACATACATACATATATATATATACATATATGTATACATACCCGCATGCATACACACATTCATACATACGCACCTACACACACATGTGTGTGTGTGTGCGTGCGCGTATGTATATATATATATATACCGTCCCCATGTGCCCACATTTCTCTTTCGTGTTAACGGAAAGTTTCTGACTTGTACATGCTTCTTCAAAAAATAACTGCACGGTAGCCCCTCCCTCTTTCAGTTCCAATCCGTGTTCCCTCAGAAGAAGCATGCTCTACCGATGGGCACCAATTCCTGCAACAATCCCAAAGTCAAGTCTTTTCGTTCAGATGCCAGACCAATGTTGGGTTTTTGGAATTTTGGAACAGTTGATTTTGTTTTGTGTGTGTATATGTATATGTATATATATATATATAATATCTGTCATAATTCTATACATACATACATGCATACATACATACATACATATATATATATCCATTAAACAATACCCATATGCATAGACTTTTTTGGGCTTTCAACATTCTCCTGGGCTTCAAACCCTGGGTTTTGAGGGCTGCAACAAGGCTTTAACAGGGTTTAGTCTTTTTTGAGGGTGCATTTGCGAATAAGGCTTGGTTTGGAAGTTGATGCTACACGGCTTTGGGCAGAGGGGCTCTGAGAAGAGGCAACCGGAGATCCGAAATTGTGGACCAAAAGGCTTAATCGTGCTCAGAACCCAAAATATCAGGGCCTTCATAGTTAGAATAGGGGCTTCGGGTACAGCATAGCCTACTATTTATAAAGCGATTTTGCCTCAAATATTCGTCTCTTTTTCAACACTTTCTGAAAGACTTATAAGTTAAACCCTAAACGCAAAGCAAACACACAGCCATCCCCATGGCCGACAAAAGTCTGACTGCTAGGATGTTTCGGATAGTTAGGAACTAGTGCACATTATATATACATATATGTATATACATACACACAGGTATGTATTATAAGAACTATATATGTAGGGCTTAGGGATGCCAAGGATACTCGTCTTAATTACTGTTGGGAACAAGATACGGTTGAGGGTTTAGGGCTGTCAATGATATTCATCCTACTTAATAACTAGGGCTGGCGGTGCCAGGAATATCGACTCCGATTTCGATGAGAGGCAGAGATGGTCTTGAGCTGCAGGTTGCGCTACCCCAGGCATCAGACCGACCCTTAAACCCTAAAACCTGACAACACCGATTAGAATCAAACCATCACAAAGCATAAGCGTGTTGTGTGCAAGCCCCAAACCCTAAGCATCCCGGCCAAGGGTCTGTGCGAGGCCCATTGTGCAGAGTACCATCTGCGCGGAAGATCTGGGCTGTCGTGCCGTCCTTTTCTCATGGAGCGATGGGATGCTTTTGGGCTTAGGGGTTAGGCGGTTTCTATGGGTTTAAGGATTTAGGGTTTAAGGGTGGAGGTCTAACGGTTAAGGGTTGAAGACAACTTCAGGGCTTTTGATGTTGAGCTTGATTTGCCTTCTTCTTACAACGATTCAAAGCTTGGGATTGGAGGTTTTGGGTGCTGAGGGTTCAGGGTTTGTGGCTTGGAACTGTTAGGAGTAGGGGCTTAGGGCTGAGAGTATGAGGGCTCAGGATTCAAGTTCATAGGCTTGAGGGGTTTGGGGGTCTGAAACCCTGGAGTTCATCCTGGCGGCTCCTATAGGGATGAATGCTTTCAGTCGTATAAGTCCCCTCCCAAATACCCCGAACCGTGGAAACCTGCACCCTTCACCCGCCCTAAACCCTAAACCCTATAAACCCCTGGACCCTATAAGCCCTGAAGCCCTAAACCCCCTAAACCCCGAAACCCTAAGAGGGCACTCCCCCTTTCAGTCCTGGTGCGCGATGCTGAAGTGCTCCAAATCTATCTGGCCCAGACGCCACTTCCCGATCTGAATGAATTGTGGCCCAAAGGTGATCCCGGAGGGGAAGCCTCGCACAAGGTACACTCATGGAAATTCAGGGATATTCCTACCTAGAGTGGAGATTTTGGGGCATTCAGGGATCCTTTGTTCAAGGATGATGAAATCTCTTTAAAGAGTTCACAGTTGAGACTCAGTTGAGTGCTTGCACGTCTGAGCTGCAGAGCATCTGGCATCTTATAGAAATAGGGATGAGTTTCAGGGGCTGCGTTGCTGTTAAAGCAATTCTAACTCATATATTGCATTACAGGCAGGCTTTGAATGATGTGTGTTCCTGCTTCTGATGGTAGCATATCTTAACCGACAGTAACAACTTTCATTAGATCCCTGATTGGAAGGAGGCGACGGCACACCCCGCAACATACTTGTCCTTATTCTTGGTCTTCGGGCTGCAATGCTTTTCAAGTCCAACGGAACTCTGATGCCCCTCAATCGGTATATTATGTCGCCGACTACAAAAACATGCTCAGCATCTCCTGCGAGCAAACATCCGCCTTGTCTTTCTGCCGGCAAACCTTGAACCCTGAACCTCCTGAACATAAAAGTAATGGTAATCTTCATATGTAACACCGGAGCTCTGTAAATTCAAGAAACTAACTTTCAACCATAAGCTCCAAATCTATTACACCCGCAACCCTAAGCCCTTGACCCTAAACTATACGAAACTCCTAAACCCTATCGCCGGATAGAAATTTGGCTTCCCCGCCATTTGCCCTCAAACTGGGGCCTAGCGGTCTGCCCCAGGCACTGTAGTCCTTGTTTGTGCCCAAGGTTTCATCGGGCTTAGTGCTTGAGTGTCTTGGCTTTGAGGGTTTAAGTTAGAGTTGAACGTTACAAGTGTTAGTTAGTTTCAAGGTGTAAGGTTCATGTTCAAGGCTTGGGGTTTAGGGGCTCCAGTGGACACGGCTGACGCGCTTCTACCATGATTCTGGGCTCTGTACGGGATGTGCACAGGTTGTATGATGGCCCTGGCTCGGAGGCTACGTACATCCAAGCCGAGGCCTAACATAAAAAACTGATCGCAGTGCCTCGGAAATGACATCCAAACTGAGGTCGACGTAGTGTCAGGAAAGTATCCACTCTATCCTCCTCCCAGCTTGAGAATCCCACGCTTGGATGCTCCAGTGCCCGAAGTTCCGCACACGGACTCCCACGGACACTTCAAGTGCTACGCCACAGAAAAAACGCCATGAGGAGCAAGACTAACACATACCCCATTGCCACATGGGCGCAATTGCTGATAGCGTTTTGCGGAACATTTGGAACGAAGGCGAATGTTTGGCACCAATCAACTGGTGCCTATTCCGGGAGTTAAGTACCGCGAACACAAAGTAGCGAGGAATCGTTTCAATGATAAGCCCAATACATAGTCCGAAGAACATCGCTAAAAAACTACAAGACTTTCTGCTGCTACGCCCTAAAACCATTGCAAACCCAAACGCTCAACTTCTTCCTTAGCACTTTAAGTGTTCTTCGCAGCAGAACTTCCGACCCGGAGCTCGTATCGTGGAGCCACCTCCCCTCCTGAGCCTGGCGTCCCAAGTCCGTCAGGCCGGAACCCCTTTAAAAGGCGGACAAAAACACGACCAAGGAACCCCTTAACCGTTAAGGGCCCTATAGACCCCTTGCACCCAAAAACCCGAAACCCTTAAACCCCGAATCCTACAAGCTGACTTTCTCTGGACCTTTTCCTGCAACCTTGAAACATTTGAAGCCTGCAGGCCCTCCCATTTGCCGCGTTCCATGCCTTTGTTTAGGAGCTTAGGGTGAGTGTTTATGTTTATGATCGGTAGATAGCGAGGTAGTTAGAATAGATAAATAGATAGATAGCTAGCAGCTAGATAGATAGTCAGATTCATAGATAGAGACGATAGGTAGACAATCATAGATAGTACTCGGGTAGCTAGCTAGGTGGGCAGGTAGATAGGCAGAGATTGACAAATAGATATGGGATAGAGGATGGACGGATAGAGGGAAGGATGGCTGGATGGCTTCACACCAGAAAGACCCCACTTTGCAGCCGTCCCAGAGTCATGCCGCGGCCCGGGGTGCACGGACCCTTCTGCGTGCCAGATTTGAGATGTGATTCCGTCCTTTCATGGGTCGGGGGCCCCCAGGGCTCCGGTCTTCTGGTGTTGAGGACTTCGGCTCGGCTAGAGGAGCAATTGCGCATGGGACTCAGCGGCTACGCCTTGACTGGAGTCGTAACTACTGGGTGCCGGGGTGTAGAACACCACGCATATCAAGACGAAGGGGATTCTTGGCCTCTGAGTAGGTGATATTGGGGTTGGTCTTGGCATTGTTTGAGACTCGGAGGACACCTCCGAGAACCCGAAGCTGAAAAACAAAAAGTTGCAACCCTAAGTCGAAAGCCTGTCTTTCCAGCACCCTAAACCCTGAATCAAACACGACAAGACCAGACGTGCGCGGGCTGTTCAAACACTAGGGGCCCCAACGACTAGACACCGCAAGGATCTCACGCTCAAAGGTTTCCCGGCATCCCCCTTAAAGGGGTACTTTAGGGTTCTATAATAGGGTCCCCTTTGAGAAGTACTATAGCGATCTATAACAGGGTCCCTTTAGGGTGATAGGGTTCCCTTTCAAGCGTACTATGGGGTTCTGTAACAGGGCCCCCTTTTCAACGGGTTCCGAGGAACTTGAGGTTTCCTCCCTTGTCGCTCTTTACCATCACGCACATGAAAGTTCTGGTGGCAAGAGTCCACTCTAAGCCCCGACACCTTATCCCCTTCAAACGAGAGGCGCAAAACATGTCCAATCTTTCCAAGCAAAAAGCGAAACCTTTCAATACAAAGGAAACCAGCACCATGTGAGACTTTCCAGGAATCAACAAAACGCAACACATGTTCAAGCTTTACAATGTTACAAAAAGATACAAACAGAAGAAACGTAAAGTATGTTCTAGCTATCAAGACTACAATACAGGTACGAAAGGCAGACTATGTGGAGTTCTCCTATCCTGCTGCTCAGAATCCTGAACCTCGAACAGTGAGTCCCGACCGAGAGTCCTTGTGCGAAATCGAGAAATGTCTGTGATCAATCGCTGCCAGACGCCAATCCCCCAGCTGGATGAAGCGATCCTCGTGGGGGGATGAGCAGGGATGTACGTGTGTTTTTTAAAGGGTTCGGTGCTTTGATCAGTTTAGGATTTAGGGTCTGGGGTTCTCTACCAGGCGTACCCTGGAATGTTCTGGTCATGGCTAGGCTCAGCAGCCAGGAACAAGTTGAGCACCTTTTCATGGGCAATGTTCGGGCACGCAATCCGGAACTCTGCCTGACTTCTGGGCCCTACACTTTTTCAGCAGGCAGAGAAAGAGATAAACCTGATCAAACAGCGGGACGTTAAAGCCCAAACCCGTAACACCCTGAAGGCTTTCCAAAGCTTAGGGCTCAACGGAGTACTGTTTAGGATGTTATAGGGCTTCAGGAGTGCAGACTTCTTGGACACCCTAAACAGAACACTAGAAAGACTCGAGGCACTGCAAGCGCATCTCGAGTCTCGAGACTACGTCCTTAAAGCCTTCGTCCTGCTGGTCCTGCAGAACCTGCGCACCCTACACCCCGCTCTGCTTCGGATATGAACGGTAGATGCTAAGATGGACTCAGTCCAAAGGCCAAGGTCCAGAACCCACAAGCCCTAACTCCTGAGGCCGCAAACCCTGAACACAACACCCAAACTCGTAAAGCTTTAGCTCTAGAGATTCTAGAACTCGCAATGCAACAATCCCAAAACAAGAGAACTCCGGGGCTGGTTTTAGCAGGAGGTGAAGCCAAAAACTTGGCTTATCTTCTTAAGAAGGGCAGGGTTCTGAAGGATTGAAGGATTGGACAGACTTGACAAGTATTAGCCAGTAGCCAGGAACATGCTTGTGGGAGATCCTTCAAGCACAAGGCACAGCCACCAACAAACACTTCCAACACCACCCAGAACCCTCAAACTCTAAACCCGAGAATCAAGGATCCCCCTACAACCCTATAAAGCCCTATAAACCCCTTTAAGCCCTAAGTCCTTATGGACCCCTTTAAGGGAACCCTACTATGGAACCCTATATAGTTCCCTTAGTTGTAGTAGAGCCGTATAGTATCCACCCCTAAAAGCCCGAAACCCTCAGCCGAAGAAGAGACCGAAGTCGCAGCCCAGGCTCGCCGAAACCCGCCCATCCCTTGTCGCAGGCTCCGTACGCCATCTCGGACAAGTCCTCGTCGGCATTTATTGGTTTGGGGTTTCTAGGTCTAGGGATGAGGGTTTCAGTTTGGGTTTATCGGGGGCTTATAGGGTTTCGGGTTGTATTCTCCCAAACCGACAGATTTCTCCTGCAGCGACATGAGGCCTCTGCTGGAAAGGACGATAAAACCTGCCACCCCGCCAATCGCTTCGAGTAAAAAAAGGAGAGAACTGCAAGGCCCCAGCACGCGGCTTGAAAGTTCGAGGATGGCTTTGAGGAGGGGAGTGTTGCGGCAGATTACGATTTCATAACATATACAAGCCATGTCTGATGGTACATGTACCATAATTCCCCCCCCCCCTCCCGCCACCAGACTCCCATTCTGAATTCTAAGCATTCAAATCCGACTCTAAGTTCAGGGATTCGTGTTATCACAGATGCTAGAATTACTATGACTACTATGATAATTGCTATTACCACTATGACTGAAGCCTCGTCGTTTAGGGTATAAGGCTTCCCTATGCCCCAATAAACCCTTTACAGCTTTGGGTGTAGGGTCCCGACTGTCATGGGTTTGGGGTTTACATGTTCCAGGATGCACTGGGGAAGCTTGCAACATCTGATTCTAGACCCTCGTCGGCCAGAAGCCCTGGATCCATCTACTGCGTGGGTTGGGAAAATTACTAGCAGCATCCCCTTGCAGTCCCTGTTGTAGATAAAGGCATGACATCTCTGTCCTTGCACGTCCACGCACTGGGGCTTCTTGTGGAGATTGCCGCGGTCCAGTCGGTACGGGGTCCTTCAGGTGTATACCAGGCTTAGGATCCTGGGTTCGGGCTTGGACGGTATAAGGGCGTCGAGCCACTAGTAATAGGTCGACTCTTCGGTGCACTGTTCCCCGGCATGCTCAAGTGCATATGGTTGTCAATTCGAAAGACCTTGACTCTTGACGGGAATGCAAGCGGAACCAGAAGCTGTTGTCCGAAAGCGCGACTGCGTGTTCGAGGCCTTCTACAGATAGATGACTCCTGTCATTTTTCCAAGGCATATTGTAACATGACTTGGTACCGTTCACAGGGATACACGCTAGGTTACTTGCATTGCCTCGATGCAGTGCGCTAATGACAGTAGCGGCAGTGACAATGGTAACGATGACACCCACAAAACTAACCATAATAGTAGCGATAAAAATGGTAACCATAACAATAACACGCTAAAAGCCGCTAAAAATAACAACCGTAGTAATTGGCACTAAAACGAACATCAATAATAATGAACAACAGACATAAATGCGATACCAACACTTTCAGGAGCAGCAGCAGCAGCAGCAGCAGCAGCAACAATACCAGCAGCAGCAACAACAACACCACCACCACAACCACCACCACCACCAAAAACAACAACAAACACGCAACAAGCCGCAACCCCGCGAGCCACAAACACCAAACAACACAACACACCCACACGCATACACAAAACACCAACACCAACACCAACACAAACACAAACACAAACACACACACACACCAAACCACAAACAACAACCGCAAGCAACAATCAACAAACAGCCCACAACAAACCACAAACAGCAAACACACATCCAACAACAACAACAGCAACAACAACAACAACAGCAACAGCAACAACAACAACAACAGCAGCACCACCACCACCACCACAACAACAACAACAACAACACAACCAAACAACAACACAACCAAACAACAACCAAACAACAACCAAACAACAACACAACAACAACAACAACAACCACAACAACACCAACAACAACAACAACCACAACAACCACAACAACCACCACAACCACCACAACCACAACCCCAACACCAACACCAACACCAACAACAACAACAACACCAACACCAACAGCAACAGCAACAGCAACAGCAACCGCAACCGCAACCGCAATCGCAACCACAACAACAACAACACCACAAGCAGCAGCAGCAACACGACCACCACCACCACCACAACAACAACAACAACAATAACAACAACAACAACAACAACCACAACCACAACCGCAACCACAACCATAATAGTATCAATAGTAAGAGTAGCAGTATAGAGTAACAATAGTAGCAATGGTAAGAGTAACACTTATGACAATAGTAACAGTAGTATTGAAACTAGTGCTAATAATAACAATAATAGTAATAATAATCGTTGCAACAAGAAGTAGCAACAAATAACAATAATCGTCATCATGACCATCAGCAGCAGAATTCTCATAATCTCAATAACCGTAGGGTCTCAGACTAGGGTGTTTGTTTGGAGGTGTCGAGAAAAGGAAAGGCTCTTTGGGAACTTCGGGATGCGGGCAGCGAGCCCTAGGGTTTAAGGTTTGGGGTTTAAGCCCCAGATGCGACCGTAAGCAAAAACCCTGCATTTTCGTAGCCCCATCAGCGGCCTGGGTGCTGCGTGCCATCGCCTCGATAAATCTGGATCGTCTGTCCTGCGGTCTGAGTCGGAGCGAAAAGGTGAACCCTGGCGTCCGACACCAGTCGAAGCTACCAGAACATACCCGAAAATGGCCCGAAATACTAAGTGCACTGAAACATTCTCCCAGCGGCCGCTGTCGTGGGTGACCAGGAAGTGATGGCCATCGGCATCGCCCAAGCGGAACTTTCCCAGCTGCACGAAGCCTGGGAGCTCGCTCGGGTGCAGCTTCTGCTGTTAGAAGAGCTGTAGAGCAGAGTACTAAATTAGTAATGATTAGTAGATGATGCAGTTCCGACAATTGGAAAGACTTGACGGGATTACACCCCTCACCCCCTAAAGCCTAAGTAAACCCTGAGCCCTAACACACTTTGACCCCCCAAGCCCTACAACCCTAGGCCGCTAAACATCCTGAAGCGCTTAAATCGAGCAGCGGTCGCCAGCAGTGATGCCCGCCGGCACGGACTCCTAGGCCGTTCAGCATCCCAATCGGAGCTTTTACGGTGACAGGAACCCAAACACACAAACCCTAACCCCAAAAAAACCTAACACAAAACCTAAACCCAATAAAACCTAACACAAAACCTAAACCCAATAAAACCTAACACAAAA